TGTAGGAGTTTTTCTTCTCAGTCAATTGCTTTCAATTGTCTCAACCGAGTTTTGATGCGGTTACACCGCTGTTTACACGTACTGAAAAATGAGTTTAGTCGGGTCTATCTGACAATGAAAAATCAAACGCGTTTTGGTCGAAGAAAAGCAAATTTCTCATTATCATGTACCAAATTTCATGTACCATTTTAATCAGAAATGTTGTTTTCTTCAACCAAAACACATTTGATTGTCCATTGTTTGGTTGTCCATTGTCAGGCAAATCTAGCCCAACTCATTTTTCAGCGCACCGAGTTTTCATCTGGTCCCTATTCAGTTGCAGCAACTGAATCTTTTTTCTATGTACTCGCTGGGCGGGGTCGCGACGTGAACGATTTGCGTCGGACGTGGTTTATTAACTCGCTGTTTTGGATGAATTTTGAAAATTCGACTCATTTCTCGCGACGGGCGCAACGTGTACGGAGAGATAATTTCTCAGCCGCTCGGCGACTGATATTTGATCTCCGCGCTTCTCCCAACTGTGATTCACGCGTATCGTTCGTGATTTTGCGAATCGCGGTATTGTGAACCGCGCGAAAACTCACCGGCGTAACCCACTTTCGTCGGAAACGCCGTTTTACGTCCGCAACACGCACATTGCATGCGCGCACTCGCACGTTATTGGGATTGTTATCTTCGACAACAGGTAAGCGAGTTCGTGACAGGCTTGTGTAACAGCACGGGGCATTGAGCCGTTATCAATACGGGAAGGCGATTATGTTAACGATATAATCACAGCTATTCACGGTAAAATGGAGGCGCCGGCGAGGTGTGAGAGGGAGGCGTGTCGCGCGTTTTTACGAGATATAATAAATCGTTACGGTGACGGCGCGCTCGCAAACGAGATCGAGATGAGTCCGCTTAAAGTTAATAATTCGCTCCCCGTGGAGAAAGTAATCGGCTGTATTATTCAATTGAGAGTAATCGTTTCTTGGCACCCGGAGGACTTGATGGAAAGTAGGAACGAACAGTTAAAACGAGTCGTTCTTTTCTCTTTAATCCGAAATGCAAATCACTCGTTCGTCTCTGAACGAGCTTTCTATTTCTTTTACTTTTTTCCCAACAAATTTAGAGCCGTTCTTCCATCTCCGTTCCAATCCTCCGGGTAACGAAAAGATAATCCCGATAAGTTGAAGTCGCTTATTGTCGGAAGGAGGTTCAAAGCCGACGAGGGAAAAGACACAATCATCGAAATGTGCATCTCGGCTCCCTCTCAGGCGTCTGAGCGCCGGTTAGAGTTAAACGCGAGAAGCGCGAAAGGGACGGTTCGACACGAGCGTGTGCGTTTCTCATGCGTGCACGTGTTGCACTCGAGGGTGTCGCGAGATGAATGCGGCGCGGTCTGCCGACCTCTCGGGTGCAACGGTTACCGCGCGGCGAGGAGAAGTCGCCGCATCGTTTGCTTTCGCTTTCGCTTTCTCCTCCTCGCGTGCCGTCTCGCAGTAACGTCTCTTCCCGCGCGAGAGGAACGATTTATAGGCAAAGCGCGCCACACCTACACACGCGTCTCGATAATTTAATAACGGACGACGGCTCGAAGCCTGTTATTGCAACGGCACGACGATTATTACGGGACGCCGGCCGTGGAGTGATTGATGGATCGATCCGCGAATTGCGTAACGTTTACTCTGCGTGCGAATGTCGGCGACGCGCTTATTGCGCCGTGTGCGTCGCTGCGATTTGTCTCCATTTTCGCCACGATTTTCTCTTTTCATTTGTTCCTTATAGCTGAGCCGGCTGCACTGGCTCAAGGGATTTACGCACACTGAGGCGTTAGAATCACGTTTCAATGTGTGTGTGTGTGTCAATTTCTCGAACTGGTGCAGCCAGCTACAAAGAACAGGGACACCATTTACCGCGGGAACAAAAGTGCGACTTGTAATTTTCACGAGGTATCTCGAGTCGAAAGTTCGATGCTACTTTGATGCTATTAAGAACAGCTTGCGTCTTCTTCTTAGGGATGACCTATAAATTAGTAAAAATCTTCTTTGACGATACTAGCAGTTGTTAACTTTTCTCTTTGGAACCTTTAATTCAACAGATTTCATTTTAACGCTACTTTGAACAACCTATTTCGGCACTAAAACACTGAAGACGGAAATTTCAGATATCACCAAGGTAGAAATAAATGATATTGTTAGAATAGAAATTGAATCTATTTTGCTGTCTTATTGTTTTGTACAATGAAGAGTTTTACATAAGAATAAAATGTCGATTCAGGATGTACACACGGACGAAAGTTTCACATGTGTCAATCCGTTATCATGTCTGTCGCGCACACGGTGTAAGATAACTTTCTCCCTCACTTCGTACGTGGTTTTGAGAGCTACGGGAGAGAATTCTCGCGATAAACATCAACGATTCATAAGCACACGACGAAATAGAATCCGTTCGTCGTGAAAGCGCTCTCACCGGGACACAGGGTTCCCGTTATCGCTCGTGCGAATATGAGGAGGTCGCCGCGAATTGTGCCGAATCGCGCGAGATGACTTAGGCGGTTCGCGAAAACCGCCCGAGGATGTCGCGGGCTTTCTCCTCCTCTTCCCTTTCTCTCTTTCCGTTCGAATAAAAAGTCGCGGAGAGAGAAGAGAGAGAGAGAGAGAGAGATGGACGGAGCTCGTAACGAAATTACTCGTTCCGAGAGCCGGAGAAACCGGTTCTCTGTCGCGAATCGAGTCTCTCGCTCGTTCTGCGTGTATGCGCGTTTTCCACTCGAATACGTTCGCACGCACGCACGAAGATGCCAAGGATTAGAGATGGGTATATCACGTCGCGCGTCTTTCCGACCTTGCCGCGCCGTCGCGAGAGAGGCAGCAGTCGCTCGCCGGCGTGGATTTCGCCGTGAAACTGAGAAGAGCGCGTTAAGAGTTTATGAAACCGGGAACTCTGCGATATCTGAAATGAGTCGATCGGGTCGCTTCCTTGTTCGCGATTCGACTGAGATCGATAGCCCTGTTTTTATCTAATTTAGACCACGTACATTACATTCTCCGCACGCGGGAAATCTAAGATCGAGGTGTGTGTGTGCTTTTTACGTAACGCCGTCGCGTTACGTAAAGCTAACAGTCCGCGGATGTGATATCTTTCACCGAGTGCAAAAAGGACGAATGGCCGGTTGAAACTTCCGACTATTCTCCAGCGTATAATAACGTCGCGATTACCGCGTGCAAATAATTGATTGAATTACATTGTGTATATGCGGAGAGGCTGCTACTTGTCGAGAGAGCGCGTCGCTTTCTATCTCGCAGGGGCGTCTATCGCGACAGCAAGAAGCGCGTCTCAGACTGCGACTAGTCCCTTTGTTCGGGCTACGCATTACGATTCATCATAATGAAGATAGTTTGCGAGGTAGACTACCTTGAGGATAATGAGCCGATCATATACGGACCGTACACACTGGCTTGATTATAATGAATTCGCCGAGTACAGGAACGAGGAGCGATTTGCTCCTTCCCGGATGCTGTTGAAGTAGCCGTCGATGCATAAACGCGAGTGGAATTCGAGAATAAGAAGCCGAAGAGAGAAAGGGGGAGAAGGGAGACCGACCGGGGTGTCGGAATGTGTGGAACGAGCGACGAACACGGCTTACCGTTACACATTTCCGCGAAAGAGCGTCGCCGTGAAAATTACCGTTTCGCTCCTTTAAGCCTTTCTCCCCGCCCTGAAAAAAGAGAGAGAAAAAGTCGTGGTTTTCCACTTTCCTCGTGTCGTTGAATGCAGATTCCGTCGAAGCGAAGAATGTCGCATCACCGCTGCATGATAACGGTATTGTGTGTGTGTGTAAATTTTACGCGACGCAATTTGATATTTCTGCTTTACATTTTCGATCGGTAGCACTTCGCAATGGACGTTCCACTTTGTAATATTTGGCACAAGGAAGAACCTTCTTTTTCCCCCTTTTCTCTCTTTCTCTACGCCGGACGTGTATACCGTTAACGCGTTAAAAAGCTTGTTTCCCTCGTCACGTTCGCGGTCGCAACGAATTCCTCGATATCGGACGGGAAAATGCGGGCATAAAAGAGAAATGCACTCGCTGCTGTCGCCGCTAATGCATACGCGGTCGCTCGATTCGGCGCACGTTCGCGAAGTACAGTCGCGACTTCGCGTAGAATTTTTTCGCGTCGGCACATCCCCACGTCTCATGAATATTCCAGCGTTGATTACCGAGATGCTATTGTTGCTTGGCGGAACAGTCGTTGCTTGTTCGCGTCCGAGCCAGACGCGAAACGCGATATCCTCGCTCTCTCGAGTCGAGGCACGAAGATTTCGATGCGGCGCGACGTGGCCGGAACGCGAGAGGTCGGATTGTTTTCATCCGTTCGTAATGAAATTGTTGTGTTCGGGCGATATCAATTTGGCGCAATTATTCGTTAACTCTCGAGTCGCGTGGCTCGCGTGTCGTCGCGTTTAATGAAATTATATGGCATTAATATTTGCGCTATCGCGCTCGCATAATTACAAAAGTACACGGCGTTCCAATGTTTCGAAGTAAGTGTATCGAGCGAGCGCGAAATACGTAATTATTAGCATGAACGATGATTATTACTCGCCACGTAGGACCCGCGTGAGAACGCGATCGCTTGCGTGTCTTTAAACCGGGATTAACCTTTTGCGAAGTTTTGATGGATCACCTGGCATTACAAATTGCCCGCTTAATCCATCACCAAGTTCAGCAATTGCGGCAATTATTTTAGCGCTCGCGTACACCTCCTCGCCGTAGCTCGGCAACTCGAGCCACTTGGAATTGCGTGCACGCACGGCACGCCCGATTCACATCGCGCGCAGTGTTCATCCATCGCTTACCGAGAGAAGTGAAACGAACTTGAAGAAGCGCAAAATCACGGCTTTCGATGCGCGATTTTGACTCAAGGTTCTCGACGTACGCGGAATTACTCTTCTTTCGAACAAAATCATAGAATGCACTTCCGACTGATCCGTTTCTCTTCGTGCTTATGTTTCAGGTCCTTGATCCATCCCTGAAGTGGGTCTCTAACACGTTATAGTGCAGTCTGCGTAACGACCGTTCAACGTATGGCACTGCAATGAACAAGTGAGTGCGCGAATCGTTGATTTTTTAATCGTAGAATTCTCCAATTTTGTTCTATCTTTCGCTCTCACCTTCGTAACTTTACTCTTCTGTACCAGTACGTTGAGAGAAATTATAATTTATATTTTTAGCCTCAATTATTACTCTTTTTTAGCTTTAACTGTAAAAATAGCGCAATATGCATGTAAAATTGTTACCACTGATAATATAGTAACACTTACTTCTCCTGACTATAATTCTTTTACCACGGTGTGTGTACAGCGGTATTATAGTCACAAATACCAATTATTTTTCTCTCAGTGTACACTAGGCTCATGTATGCTACACTATTCCCTAGACGGAGTGTTATACGATTTTGAATCTTGGACATAATGCATAAAATTGAAAATCGCAAAAATAACTGATGATAGTAGCGTTATAATGGCTGTAATTATAATAGTTTCGACCTCGATGTGAAAGCGAAAAATCGCATAACGGTAAATAATTTCAGCGTCACACATATATTTTACAGCGGTAACAATATGCATGTAAGGTTATCACTGATATACCACTTGCTAGAAAAATGGTTCTCCCGACTGTTTTTGTAATTAGAGGGTATATTTGGCGGCGAAACTAACAATAATTTTCTGTCGGTGTACACGACGCCGACTCCGTACCATCCGAAGCGCTCTCGACTCCAACTGTAATAACGTGAGAGTTAATCTCGTTCGCTGAGACCTCGCGCTCGATCGGCCTCGTAGATTCCAATCGCCGAAGCGCGCGCGGGGCTGCGATTAATAAGTCCCGCGATCGGGCCGCGGTAAGGATGCCGCGAGCGGGACGTATTCTCCTCTCTTGCGATCGTAAGAAAACGCTCGTTTCTACGGTTACAATTACGATCGCGATCGTAAATCAGCTCGGTACGCGCGCGACGGAGCGTCGCGTCGTTCCGCCGTATTCTCGTCGCCGGAGGGCTCGCCGTCGCCTCGTATGACATAAACGTTATACGAGCGAGCGCGGTACTCTGTTGCCGCCGTGCGTGTACGACCGCGCGATATAGTTACCCGCATAGTTACAACCGAGCATTATCATTGCCGGTGCGCGTAATTGCCTCCACACACGCGCGATCACGAGACCGGGCCCCGTCGGGCCAGCACGCCCAACCAGGGTTGGTCTCGGACCTCAGGCAAGGTTAAACACCGTGTGTGCATATATGTGTGTCCACGAACTCGCTATATATTCAGTGTGTTATGCGTATATATATCTTATAATAGATTATTATAATTTACTTAATCGGCCTCGCGAAAGTTCGCGTGTATTCCTCGGAGACAAATTCCAATCCTTATTTAGACATGTTCGAAAATATTATACGCACGTGCGCTTAATAATAAATTAGTCCCCTCTACCCGAAAGTTTTGTAAGGAGGTAAAGGCCCCGATTTATTTTCGCAAATATGAATTTTCTCTCCGAGTCGGATCTTGAGAGTCTGAGAGACGCTTTAATTAAAAACACGTTTCGGGAATATCGTTCGTTCAAGGCCTTCCGCGATTTCGCCTGGCATCGTCCGTATGAGATCGTAAACGAGGAGAAGCAAAACACGATGGCAATGTAGAAAGAGAGAAGCCTTTGTTAAGCCGAGCGTCGCGTTATCGCCGGTCGTCGTTGCGACGAGTTACGATGTAACGCCGTTTTAAAACCCTCCTGCTGTCCCCTCGTCGTCGTCTCCCTCATCGTACTCTTTTTCCTCGCTTTTCGCGACGGGTCGTGCGTGCAACCGCCGTGAACGTTGTTTTGCCGGAACGTCGACGCGTTCCCTCCTTGAATCGCAACAAAGTCGGAAATCGCGATTCCGCTCGCGACTCTGTTCACGGATACGACGAAGCGCGTGTAAATACATCGTTGTTCCTTGCTTATCGTTAGTATGTGGAATCGCAAATTCTTCACCGGGAACCAGTCGTTAACACGCACGGTCGGTTCGTACCTTGCAATCGCGCGAATTACCATCGTAAGCTATCTCGTGCTTCGCTTTTTTCGAAAATTCGATGGCACTTCCGTGCTTCGAAACGCCCGCCATTTATGGTAAACGTTCCTTCGGAGAGAGGAAGAGAAAGAGGGTCACGGTGAGATACAGCCCCGCCATAAATCATTCTTCTTCGTCGCTACCGGAAACTTAAGTTTCCGACAGAAACCTATACAGCAATCGTAGACGGCGTGATGGTTTTTCGGATAGGAAGGGTTAATCCATCACCGGATCGAAAATAGCGAGTTCTGGATGGGCATCGGCAATGTGTGTCGTGGGCGCAGGGTGAGAGCAAGGAAGGGAGGGATGGTCGAAGAGGACCGCGGAATTGAATGCAGCGAGAAAGGGCGCGCGCCGGCCCGACAGAAATTGAAACGTTGTGCGGAAATTGAACGGCACAGGCGAAACCTTTCGGCCCGGTACCGACGCGGAAATGGAAGCGTCGCTTGTAAACTGAAAACCTTATCAATCAGCCCGGCATTTTTCGCGGCGCGGCCGAAGCCGTTTTCGAGCGTGAGAATCTTGCGGGGTCGTCGCGATTGTGCGCCGTCGTTTCGCACTTTCTTTCACGCGTCCATCGTCGCAAATATCGAGAGAGAATGGTACGTTTTAGAGTCCCTGTAATAAGAGTCCGGACACTGTATGTCTGATTTTTTATTAGTTCCGCCATGGTAGAGTTTACCTTCATGTGTGGGATATATGAAAAGATTGCTTTCCAGTAAGAAGCAAAAAGACACAAGTTTCTAGTTATATCACATATTATCCTTTTCTTTATCAAATGCAAAATAAACATATGATGACAACAAATGCTGGTATAATTAGACTTGTGTCTCTCGTTGGAGAGCGAAAGTTATCAGTTGAGTGATAACACAAGCAAAGATTTGCCATCTACGAAATCTACGAAGCGTGTTAAAAGAAATTCGTTTTTATTCGAAATTCGTGACCAATTATTAATTTATTTTGGTTTGCGTCTATCTTAGTAGTACATTTGAACAGTTCGCGTGTTATAGCTTGTGAACTCCCAGTCTTTTACATGGTGGCCACAGCGACGGTGTCCAATTTCTCATTATAGGGACTCGAGATTCGTTCTCCTTCCTCGTGCTGCGATGTGTTTTTCTCCTTACGAGTGTCTTTCGCGGATCGACAGATCATAACGTTGATGTGGCGTCGATCAAATTAACAGGCACCGTAAAGTCACTCGAAAATGGTGAATATCAATTTGGTGGGTGTCGTAAAATGAATAAGAAACGAACGCCGTCATCGATCGCACGCTCGATGAATGTCGGGCGTTTCGCTTACGGTCACGATCGTCGCGAAAGTAAAAGTCGCGGGGATAAAAGTTTCTTTTCGATTTAAATCTCCTGCGACTATCTTTCGCTTGCTGCTTCAGTTTCTTCTAAACACAGAGTTCCGGATACGATCTTTTGATACCAAGAGACTCCGTCCGTGACTTTCAGACATGCGCTTTCGCGAAATAATATTTCGTATGATTATAGCCGAGGGAGAGGAACGAGCGGGAAGAGATCGATCTCGCCGGAGTTAAATTGTTTTTCCGAGGAACTCCTCATTAATATTCCGTCTACTACGGGAAACGCGATTAAAGTCGATTTGTTTCGACGAATCAACGTGTTTGGCTCTTCTTCAAAATGACGCGGAGTGCGCGCTATTTTGCCAAGTGTAACAATATTTTGTCAACGTAACCAGGTGGAATGAATGCCGGACTAATCTCACACTGTCGAGCGATCGACCGAACCTGGAAGTCGGTGGATCCGATTACCGACGATTCGCCGGCGTTTGTGCGAGTTGCTCGCGCGATCCCGTGTCGTCTTACAATGCACGCTTCCTTCGTGCGACTTTAGCTCGCATTACTCCGGGACGGCGCGTGCTACCGGCGGCGATACGGACGCTTATCGCTGCGAAATTACGTCTCTTCGATATACACATCCCTTTTCGTCGCCGATGATCATGCGTACGATGCGCGCCAGCGGTACCTTTCGCTTCCGGCATGTACCTGTCGCGCGTCTAGACACGCGCCCATCGACACTGTTGATCGGAAAACCTTTCAGCCTTACATGTTCAACCGCTCGCACATGTGAAACACTTACCAGCTGTCAAATTGTCAAACGCAGCTCCGCCGTGTGACGCCCCCGTGTATCTAGACACTACGCGTCCGACCCGAAAACGCCTGAACCGAAATTGGAAGGCATCGATGACGCCCCGAGTGCAACCATCGTGACGTGGGAAATCGGCAGAGGTTTCTATGACATCAATATTGAACTTGCGCGTGGAAGGTTAATCCGCTATTTACAGTGCACGCGGCTTTACATCTCTCCACACGTATGGTCGATACTTTATACATGAAGAGTAGAGCAGGCTAGAGTGGAGTAGAGTAGAACAAGTCTGATAGATTTGTTTGCTAGAGGTTTCCTTCGGTACACAGTAATTTACACGAGTTTATAACAGGTGTATACGGTCATAAAAGACAAATAACACGCGAATATAAAGAATGAGAAGGGAAGAAAGGTATCACGATATATCCGAATTGAAATTTTAATCCTAGTTAAGTCTAATTTGGTCCCGTATTAACTGTTCAAAGATCTATTGTGCTCCTTTTGTGCTACAAACGATTACCGTTGCCGTAACTTGAAGACTTAATGTGGAATTAAAAATGTTGACTCTGGTAGCGTCGGACATTATCGCGACGGCTGTTGAAGATATGACCGCGCTCGACTCGTAACTGTCTCGGTTCTCGGGAGAATACGGATACCAATTAAGAGCCCAGCGCGTTTCCTGGGAAAAGCGCGGACCTTCCCGCTTATCCCACTCCGTTCCCACAGTCTCTCTCTTTTTCTCTTTCTCCGTTCTCCGGCGGATCGGCGCGCGAGGTAAGTTAAACAACTGGGGAGGAACTCGTTTGAATATAATGCCGGTCGTTACCGCGCGAAGGGATGGTTCATCGTCCCTTCGATCCTCCCGCGACAGATCCTCAGCGACGTCGAGGGTG